GTTATTTATGTTAACACGTTTGCAGAAGAATCTCGATTTGTTTCACAGTTTTGCAACTCTCTCTCACGTCTGGCTTAATGGTAGACAGCTGGGTTCTCGCGGCTGCTTCTGCCGTCTGCTGCAATGTCACACAGACCACGCAGCCTCCGGAAAGCTCCAGAGAGAATGCGAGGGGGAAAGGCACAGCATGTCTTGGTGTTAAAATAGTTTTGACATCCTGGATTTCTTGAAAAGGGTCTCAGGGAACCTCAGCAATTGCCCTGACTACACAGGCATTCCAGTTCCCAGAGGAACTGAAACAATATCGAGACCCACTGAGTGCTCGTGGGACAACACAGGGCACGCGAGCTTCCAAACCCACAGATTTTCAAATGTGTCCATTGTTTAAATGACCACATTCAGAGGCCCAGTGGCAGACGGAGACAGCCCAGACTTGTGACCTGTGACAGCTTTTTATCCTTGCCTGTCCTTCCCCAGCACAGAGCAGGAGGGTGGGGCCGGCCTCCCCATGCCCGCTGAGGGTCCGCAAAGAGCACCCAGTTCTCGGGAGAACTGCAGCACGTCCACAACTGGAAATGCAGTCTGCCTCCCTGGTGCCTCCTCTCCGCTGTTGATAAAACTGATGAAGCCCTGGCGACTGAATTTCCAAGTGTAAAAGGAAAGCAGGGCTGTGATCAAACTAAGGTATAAACCATTACCCACGGGTGTGTATTCACCCCCTTATACACATTACCCAGTCAGCTATTCCACAGAGGGGCCACGGAAATTCTTCTTCTTTCATCCTAAGCCGAGGATATGTTTATTGATTTGAGAAAGAAGGCAGAGGAGGAGGGGGGGGGGGGGGGGAGAGAAGAGAGAGAGAGAGAGAGAAACATCATAGGTTGCCTCCTGTACATGCCCCAACGGGGAATCTAACCCACAACCTAGGTATGTGCTCTGACTGGGAATCGAACCCCCAAACTTTTCTTGTATGAGGACAACACTCAAACCAACTGAGCCACCCAGCCAGGGCCTACAGAAATTCTTATTTGCAATTTGGAGCCACAGAATTTCATTACTTCATTGGCTAAATCACAGATGGTAAGACATTTGCATGGTTTCCCTGGGTGGTGCTTAGAAAATTAATCCCTATTCCTCTACATTTACAAAATTGCAGATTAAAAAAATCTAGACACATACACACCCACATAGAACATCTAAATGCTCAAGTGGAAGGTAAGTCCCTTCAGCATCCATTTTTCCTGTATTTCCTTGTTTACAGGGAACAATTATTTCAAAGTAATATGTTCTGTTTGTTTTGAGCCATCTTACTGTCATAGACAAATATGTTTTCTCTTTAAGCTGTCAGTAAGAGCACATCTATGATATTAATAAAGCTGAGTTAATTTAGTCAACTCTATCTTGTTCTTTCAGATCACAGCTGGTAATATAAGGCCTTTTCAGCAGGAAGAACCCTTACAAATCACCTCACCGCCCTTCTCACCACCTCCCCAGGGTCCCGTCTTCACAGATAAAGGCCCAGGAAGGGGAGGCGACTCCTGTACCACTCCTGGACTAGTTACTAGCAAAACTGGGGCCCAAAGCATGGCTAACCCAAAGCCTTCGTGCTGTCAGCCAAAGCCATTCCTAGAGATTTTATCCAATCCCCTTCTCTCCAATCTGTCCCCAGAGGAAGCCGAAGTCACAGCCTAACCCTGTCAATCACCTGTGCAATACATGACTTACTCTTGACTGAAGAATAAGACAACCTCGGAGAAATACCAGGAGCAAGTGGGCTGGAGAGGTCGCTGGCCCCTGGCTGGCCCCGCCCCCACAGCCTCTGTTTGGCTAAAGGGAAAGCCTGGGGCCACGCCTCTCACCCACTAGGGTATTTCCATGAATGGGCTCTGGGACCAGCTCTCCCCAGGCTTCCTGAAAACCCCCCTATGTCGCCCCTGCCCACCTACATGCCTTTCTACAGAAACTGGTTTGAGCATGACCCATGACCGTGGTCTACAAGGTCTTACGTGACTTGACCCCTGCCGCCCCTGACCGAGCTCAATTTGTACCACCTTCCCCTTTCTCCGGCCACCGGGCCTTTTCTCTGTTCATGCAAACGGGCAAGTGAGGGTGTTTTTTCCAGATATTCACATGCTCGCGGCCTTCTTGTCCACCTTTATCTCAGCTGTCAGCTCATCAGAAAGGCCTCCCAGCACCCGCTCTAAAGCGGCCGCCTGTCCTGTCACTCGTCTCAGGTCACCCTATTCTATCAGGGCCCTGTCGCTATCTGAAATGACTTTGTTGTTCTGTGAACCGCCTGCCTCTGCACTGAGCTCGAAGGGGACATGGAGCTCTGTCTAATTCACCTCTAATCTCCGCGCCTGGCACTAAATTGGAGCCCAGCAAGTATTTGTCATATGAATGAACAAGGGAATCTCTCTCTCTCCCGCGCGCACACACACACACGCACACGCACACGCACATGCACACGCGTGCGCGCCCTCCAGTGCCACAGGCCTGATGTGTAATAATGTGAGAATACCTTTGCTGACTGGCTGGAGAAGCAAATGGGTTCTCTGTGCAGGGAGCATTGCTGGAGGCGCTGGGGTCTATACTAATTTCCCTACAGAGAACACAAGTCAGCTGCAGAACAAGCAAAGCCTGCCCGCTTCAAGAGAGTAGCTGTGATTCTTCCCAATTCTTATATTTTTAAAAAGGCCAAAACCCATGGATGAATTTTCAGGTAAAAAATACTTTGAGGCAACAGATCCTGGTTTCAGGATCTGAGATCCAATTAAGCATCAGCACCTCATTAGCCATGTGATCTCTGGTAAGTTGGTCTGAATCCTAGGCGTGTGACCCCTCCCATCCTCAATTTCCTCACCTGTAAAATGGGGACATTAACAGTTTGCATAAATAACTCATTATAAGCACTCCACATGTTAACGGTTGTCATAATTGTTGGGATTGCCAGTGGTACACTAGTACATGCCTTACAAGGCTATATAACAAGTCCTCCTTAGTTTTGATTTGAAATTGTAACATCCTTTATAGAAGCGGTTCTCAACCTGTGGGTCGCGACCCCTTTGGCAGTCGAACAACCCTTTCACAGGGGTCGCCTAAGACCATCCTGCATATCAGATATTTACATGACGATTCATAACAGTAGCAACATTACAGTTATGAAGTAGCAACGAAAATAATTTTATGGTTGGGTCACAACATGAGGAACTATATTTAAAGGGCCAGAAGGTTGAGAACCACTGCTTTACAGGGACCCACACCCAATTCCCCTGGAAAAGTATTTGGCTCTTTGAGACCCCTTGCCTTGGTGTATGCCATGCCACTCCCTGGAGTGTCCCCCTTGCTACCCAGCAAACGTCTGTTTCTCCATCAAGATCCCTCTCAAGGGTAACCCCCACTCCCACTCCTCTCTTAGTTAGCCAGTCAAGTGACATGGCCTATGAGTTACAACTCTCTTGAGTGGCAGCCACAGAAACCCCCCTGGGAGTCAGTGAGCGGAACGGGGATACTGCATGAGGATGCTGAGCTCCCGCAGAACCCAGGGGCCTCAGAAACCACCTGGAGTCGAGGAAGGGAGACCTGTAGGGAGTTCTTTCTTCTTCCTCTTGGAGCCTCAGCTTCTACTTTTTCTCTTGCTGCAAACTGGCTTTCTGTTCCCCATGCCCATGACAGACAGCAGCTGTCATCCGCACTCGAGCGCCCACATCTGTTCTCTTCCAGAGAGCAGCCGGGTGGAACGGAAATCTCCTGGCCCCGAGCCCAAGGGCTCGTCTTCTTCCTCCAATACGCTACTGCAATTGCCTGTGGCCTCCCATCCAAGCACTCACCCGGCCCGACCTTGCTTCGCTTCCGAAATCAGATGAGATCGGGCGTGTTCAGACTGGGGAGCTGTCAGGGGGACCCCTTTGTAAAGTAAATGATTGTCTGACCGCTGTGCTGATACAAAATGATGTTGACGGTAGACTGTAGTTGAAAATTAAATAAAGAGTAAATGAGTATTTTTTAAAAGATTGCTTTTGGCAAGGTGCCCCTGGCAATTGCCTAATTGCCAAATCCAGAGGATGCTTTTCCTTTCCTAGCTGATGCTCTGCAGCATTTAACCCCCTGACCCCAGAGCCTGGAAACATTCTTCTACTTTGGCCTCCGGGACACCATGCTCTCCTGGCTCCCTCCAGGCCCTCCCTCCATGTTCCTTCCCTCTTGTCTGCAGGTGGGACTCTTCACTCATCCTGGAAGCATTGGCGTTTCCCAGGGCTTGGGCCTCACCCCTTCTCCGCGCACTTTAAAGTCTCATACCTCCCATGGTTCTCCGGGTTTCTCTTAACTTTCAGGATATAGACAGACCTTTCTCCCTCACTGAGCTTGACTTGTGACTAGATACTTTGTTTTGTATGGCAGGGAGCTCGGAATGCACTCTCAGAGTTCCTATTGCACTCTCATAGTTCCTATTAAGTTCTTGTAGGTTTTGTAGCTTTGGTTGCCTGGACCCGTCGCCAGTAGGATGTAAGGACTCAGTCATTACTGTTACCCAGATACGATCCTGGTCCCTTGGGAGGGTGGCTCTCACCTTAGCGAGCCCAACTCTGGGCACCCCCAGATCAGGCCAGAGGGGTGGTAGCGGAGGAAGACGATGCGATGTGAGCTCTCTGGGTAAGCGCAGATGCAGTCAACAGAACCCATGGGCCAGGGAAGGACCAAGACAGATTACTGGGGGAGGCAAGCCGTCCTGAGACTTTCCCAGTGTGCTGAGCCCCTCTTCCCGGGCCCCCATCCTCTGATACCAGAAGGGCCTGTGCTGATACATGGAATTTAACTGTTAAGCAATCACCACCCCAGCGGCACCAGCAGCATAGACCCTGGCACCCCAATCTCAGCCCCGAGCAGGTCGGAATCCTGGCCGAGAGGCTGTGCGGGGCCGACTGGAAGTGCCGCCTACCTGAAATGACAGTGCGGCACCGGGTGCTGTGATAAGGTTTAATGAGCATCTGAGCGGCCCCTACTTTTAGCAGACAGCGTCCGGGCGGAGGCCCCCGGCCCACTCCCCGTGGTCGTCCCCGTCCCGCAGCGGGATGGACTTTCTCATGTGCACACACAGCACCTCATCGATGTAGATGGTGTTCTCTTTGATCTGGATCTGCTCCTGCAGGGCCAGCTGTCGGCGGTTCAGCCCTTTCAGCTCCATCTGAGCTTGGGCTAATGTTTCCTTTAATCTGGGAGAAGAGGAAGAACAGAAGGGAATCGTTTATCACCCCACATTGCTTTACTGGGGGGCCGGGGGCAAGTATTTGTGTGCTCATCGCAGAAGCAGAATTGGCATGTCCTTCTCCGTGTCTCCTCCCGAAGACAGAGATTGCAGATTGGTGGCCACAGGCCAGATTCACAAGATAGACAGCTCCATGAGCTGCCGGCATTGAAAACTGCGTTTTACCTAAACATCTGGATTTGGACTTTTGAAAAATGCAAACACTGGTATCCATTTCCTGCATGGCAGCAATTGGCTGCAGTTAACAAGGAACCCCTTGACTGTCCTCCAGAAAGGAACCCCTTGCATATTATAGATGCAAAAGTGCTCATGCCCGGCTGGCTTCCCCCACGATGGCATTGCCCAGCCCTGTTCACCATCCGGGTTCCCATGGAACCCCAGTGGCCCTCCCCCTCCCAGCCGCCAGCCTACCTTGCAATGTTGTTGGTGATCTCATGAACCTCCCTGATCAGCCTGTACTGGGCCATATCGCGACACAGCTCCACATTAGGACGGCACGTCCTGGTCCCCAGGCGTGTATGAGCCACCTTGGCAGGCCCTTCTTGGTCCAGGATGGCTTTTTCAAGAAATTCAATGTTTTTCTCCTGGGAAGCAATCTCTTCCATGACCTTACAGAAAGGATTGGAGTGGGTGAGACCAGGTTGTGCTCCTCAAAACTCTACAGCAGACACTCTTAGGAGGTCTGTTGGGATCACGTAAGCTAGGAAGAGGGGACCTCAGATTTCTACCCAAGCAGGGCCCCAGAATGAGTCTGATCTCTCTTCCCTACAGCAGGGATTGCTGGTGAGCAAGGCAACCCACCCGACCTTAGAACCTCGTAGGTGGAGTGGGCATGACCGGCATTGTTCCCGCATCTCCTTCCCAAATGCGGGGAATGCCCTGGAGAATGCCCTCAGTAAAGGCTGGAGGCTGCTGTTCACCTGGGTAGTAAGTACCGTGTGCTGAGTAGCTGGCCGCCTATTTCCATCAACCCACCCACTAGCGCCCACTCTGCTCCCTAGCTGCCTGAAGTGTGAGCAGTTCAATGCTGAGTTTTGCTGATTTCTTTGAAGGTGGCTTTGTGCACAGAAAAGATGACTTGGACGTTACTTGGGTTTTCAGATTAATCTTTAACTAGCTTAAATTTTTGTTTCTTTCTTTAAACTTAAAAAAAAATTTACATCATAGAATTTTCTAAACATACACAAAAGTAGCCGATGTAATGAACCTCAGGCACTCATCAATTTAATCAATGATCGATACATGGCCAATCTTGTTGCATCTATAACCCCCCTCTCTGCACCCCTGCCCATCAGCTTATTTCAAAGCAAATCTCAGATATTATATCATTCCAGTCTTAAATACCTGAGGATGTATTTCTAAGATATAAGGATGCTTTTATTGTCTTTTAACATAATGATAGTACCTTCTTCTCTCTTACAAACACACTCAGATTTCCCTGATTGTCTGTTGGTTTATTCAAATTAGAATGCAAATGAGGTCCACACATTGCATTTTGTTTTCTTGAGCCTTTTCTTAACATTTCTTAAAGGTTTTCTTAAGTTCAGCTCTCAGAGAGTATACTATTTTTAAATTTAGCAAATGTTAATAATCACTTTAAATTGACTTTGACTAATAGTTGCTCCAATTTCAAGCCTAGTTAAAATCCTTCAAACACTTAAAGCAGCATTTGTAAATTTGATATATAACATATAATTTTTATAAATTTGATATAAAACTTTTAAAAACTACCTGAGTCGTCTTAGCAAACAAGGCTTTCTGCAGTTCTAAAAAGACCTCGTTAATCTAGTAAACTAGTAAAATTGATTACTCTTAAATTCTCAAATACTTTAACACTGTCTTCAAACTTAAAATTTTCAACTAAAATCATAAGGCTAAATTACTTAATTACAAATTTTGTTATGATATTTTTTAAACAGGCCAAATTTTCTTAAGTTTTACAAATACTTAAAATATACTAAGTGCACAGATTCCTTCAAACAAAACTACTAATACTATGGGTTAGATCAGGAGTCAGCAAACTGTAGCCTCAGGGCCAAATACAGTCTGGTTTGGTACAGACTGTTTTTGTACAGACTGAAATAAGAATGTTTTTTTTTAATTAATGGACTTTAGTTTTTTGTTTGTTTTAATCTTCACCTAAGGATATGTTTTTGTTTAGAGAGAGAGGAAGAGAGAAAGAGAGAAATATCAATCGGTTGCCTCCCTTACGGGGATCGAATCCACAACCTCTGTATGTGCTCTGACTGGAAATAGAATCTGCTACCTTTTGGTGTGCCGGACGAGGCTCCACACAACGAGTCACCTGGCCGGGGCTACGGACTTTAGTTTTTAGAGCAGTTTTAGCCTTTCAGCAAAATGAAACAGGAAGTATAGAGTTCCCATATACCCTCTCTCCCCCAACACAGATCCCCCTGTTATGAGCATCTTCCATTAATGTGGTACATTTGTTACAACTAAGCAACCAATGTTGTATCCGTTATTATTAACTAAAGTTCATAGTTTACATTACGGTTCAATCTTGGTGTTGCACATTCTATGGATTTTAACAAATGTGTGCCATGTACCCACCGTTACCGTATCGTACCGAGTAGGTTTCATTGCCCTAACAAATCCCTGTGCTCCTCCTTTTCATCGCTCCTCCCCACCCCACCCCCATCTGAAGCCCTGACAACCAGAGCCTTTTTACTGTGTCCGGTGTCATGTAGTTGGAATCATACAGTCTGACTCATGCAGTATGAATTTCAGATTGGCTTCTTTCATTTAGCGATACGCATGTAAGGTTTCTCCATGTCCTTTTGTGGCTCGATAGCTCATTTCTTTTTATCACTGAATAATATTCCATTGTATGGATGTAGCACAGTTTGTTTACCCATTCATCTATCAAAGGACATCTGGTTGCTCCCAAGCTTTGGCAATTATGAATAAAGCTGCTCAACACTCATATGCAGATTTTTGTGCAGACCTAAGTTTTCAAGCCGTTTGAAATACCAAGGAGTGAGCTTGCTGAATCATAGGCGTCTGTTTGGTTTTGCAAGAAACTGCCAAACTGTCTTCCCAAGTGGCTGCACCATTTGGCACTCCCGCCAACAATGAGCGTGCCTACTGCTCCACATCCTCGCCGGCGCTTGGCATGGTCAGTGTTTTGGATGTTCTGTGGGCGTGTAGTGGCATCCCGTTGCTTTAATTTGCAATCCCTGAGGACGTAGGCTGTTGAGCCTCTTTTCATATGCTTCATCTACATATCTTCTCTGGGGAGGTGCCTGTTTCCATCTTTTGTCTGTTTTTCTATTGGGCTGTTTGTTTTCTTATTGTTGAGTTTCCAGAGTTCTTCCTCTATTTTTGGATAACAGTGCTTTATCTGTGGCTTGTCTTTTTTAGTCTCCTTTTTTAAAAAAATAAGGGAGTGCGGGGTACATTTTTTTAAAATATATTTTATTGATTTTTTACAGAGAGGAAGGGAGGGAGATAGAGAGTTGGAAACATCGATGAGAGAGAAACATCAATCAGCTGCCTCCTGCACATCTCCCACTGGGGATGTGCCCGCAACCCAGGTACATGCCCTTGACCAGAATCGAACCTGGGACCTTTCAGTCCGCAGGCCAACGCTCTATCCACTGAGCCAAACCGGTTTTGGCCATTTTTTTTTTTTTATTGTCTAAAGTTTTACATATGTCTCCTTTTTCCCCAATTGACTCCCCCACCCCCAGCCATTCCCACCCCGGGCAAGCCCCCACCGCCCCTGTGTCTGTGTCCATTGGTTATGCTAATATGCATGCATACAAGTCCTTTGGTTGCTCTTTAAAGGTGGGAGGGGGGTACATTTTTAAATAGCTGGAAAATCAAAAGAAAAATATTTCATGTCATCTTAAAATTACATAAAATTCAAATATTGGTGTCCACAATGAAGTTTTATTGGAGCACAGCCATGCTCATTCATCTGTATGGCTGCTTTTAAACTACAACGTCCGGGTTAAGAAGTTGCGACAGAATGGACGTTACACTCTCAGTGCTTTGCGCTGCTGTCCAGATGACACGGTTATAACGACAGCTTCCCGCGCGCTACATGTATCGCCAGGCAGTTTTTAGCACCAGCACATACCCATCATGTCAAAACAAGGAAACCAGGCTTCCTGCGGTGCACGTTAAGGCCTAGAGACGTGTAGATTTTGTTCCTTAGACAGCAAAGCACTGCGTTTATCACGCAGTGCCGCTCAGCTGTGCTGAAAGAACACGGCATGCGTCATTACCAGGCCGCGCACCATCACGACAGCCGCAACTCACAGGAAAGCAATGATCAGAAAAACTAGACATTTCAAACAGAGTATCTCATCACCGCAGAATCTCTTCGCAAAAAATGAAAAGGGGGCTGCAATCAGAGTCAGGTTCCAAGTGTCTCGTTTGCAGCCAAGCACGGAAAGCCATGTACTGATAACAGATTAATTAAAACATGTTGGTTGCCGCTGAGGAAGGGTGTCCAGAGAACATACAGTTGTGTGTTAGTCTTTCTGCAAAAACAGCTGCTTGGAGAGTTCAGGACCCTGGGAACAGCATCGACAGCCAATGGAAAGCAGGGCGCACGAGGCGGGGTGGTCTCCTAGCTCTTCGCCAGCTGGCAGGGCTCCTGATGCTGCTCGGGTGTTTATTCCGGGAATCGGTGCTGAGTTTGAAGGGACTGAAGGACCAGCCTCCACGAATGGTCGCACGAAGTAACTAGAGGCAGGGACATTTCCAGAAAGTTGAGAACACACTAATTCAACACAACCCGAGGTGGAATCTGCTAAGAAGTGCTGAAGCTGAGGATGGTACGCATGTGTGTAGAGCAGAAGCGGCTTAGTTGAACATATTCACAGAAGTGGAGGAAATGTGAGCTCTTGGCAGCTCTAATTATTATTCACCAGAAAAGAACTGCCCAGAAGAGATCTGAATCCATCAAGTGTCACTGAACCAGTATCATCAGCCGTGGACTTCATGAGCTCTCATCATCAGTTCTGTGAATATTTGCCAGAAACAGAAGCTGAATATCCTGACTTGCCCTTCTCCTCAGCAATCGAATGGTTTATCAGTGGCGAAATTTTCTTGTGATTTATTTTGAGCTCAGGGCCATGATTGAAATTTTTCTAAACAAGAACCACTCCCTTCCCCCCATGAAACTATTACTACAAAACACTGAACAGGGCCCTGGCTGGTGTGCTCAATCATTAGAGTGTCGTCCCACACACCAAAGGGCCTCGGGTTCAATTCCCAGTCATGGGCACATACCCAGGTTTCAGATTTGATCCCCGGTCTGGGCTCATGCGTGAGGCAACCGATCAATGTTTCTCTCTCACATAGATGTTTCTCTCTCTCTCTCTCTCTCCCTCTCCCTTCCTCTCTGGAATCAATGAAAAAAAAAATGTCCTTGGGTGAGGATTAAAAAATAATAATAATAGCCCTAACTGGTTTGGCTCAGTGGTTCTCAACCTTCCTAATGCCGCGACCCTTTAATACAGTTCCTCATGTTGTGGTGACCCCCAATTTCATTGTTACAAATTGAACATAATTAAAGCATAGTGATTAATCACAAAAACAATATATAATTATATATGTGTTTTCCGATGGTCTTAGGCAACCCCTGTGAAAGGGTTGTTTGACCCCCAAAGGGGTCTCGGCCCACAGGTTGAGAACCGCTGGGATAGAGCGTCAGCCTGCGAACTGAAGGGTCCCGGGTTCAATTCCAGTCAAGGGCATGTACCTTGGTTGTGGGCACATCCCCAGTAGGAGGTGTGCAGGAGGCAGCTGATCGATGTTTCTCTCTCATTGATGTTTCTAACTCTCTATTCCTCTCCCTTCCTCTCTGTAAAAAAAAATCAATAAAATATATTTTTTTTAAAAATAATAAAACACTGAATAGCTTTGCAAATTAATTTTTGCTGCAGACTTAGTAATAATATATCTTTTTGGTTGTTGTTGTTAATCCTCACCCAAGGATATTTTTCCATTAATCTTTAGACACCGTGGAAGAGAGGGGGAGAAACAGAGAGAGAGAAGCACCGATGTGAGAGAGACACTGATGTGAGAAAGACACATCGCTTGGTTGCTTCCCTCATTGAGCCTGCAACCGAGGTACATGCCCTTGACCAGAATCGGACCCAGGACCCTTCAATCCGTGGGCTGACACTCTATCCACTGAGCCAAACCAGCTAGGATGTAATAATATAGCTTAATGAATCCCACCTGCAATCAGAAAGCAAGCGCGCACTCACATGCAAAGCTTACACTGCGGTAAAGTCATTTCAACAACTAACGTGGTTTGAATCACAAGTCTTGCCAAGCTGTGCTGTCAAAATCAAAACAAGAAGCAAGACCTCCATTCCCACACAGATGTGCAGCAGACATATTTTCCAAGTGCCAGCAGTGGTGGTTGTTTTTTGGGGTGGGGGGGCGGGGGGTAAGGGGGGTAAGGGGGGGACCTCAAAAGTGCAAAGGAAATTTCCATATTTCGAAATCCACTTAATTGTGCAATTGAGGAGCTTCTGCCTACCCTTCAACAGCAAGTGATTAATCCGAAATGTAATGACATGCTAACAGGCCAGCATCAGGAGAAGCAGCTAAACAGATTTCTACAAATGCCTTCCAAGCAATGAGTGTATCCAATTAAAATCATGTGCTCGCAGATTGTTATCAGTACTTGGCAGCACTATTTAAATGAAAAGACATTTCCCAAGATGAAATATACAGAATCTCATTACAGAACAGCATTCACAGACGAACATTTGCAACAGATTTTGATAGGAAATACGATCACAGCATAACCTTTGATTGCGCTCTGGCTTGTCCTGCTCATCGCATAAATACATCCTGACAACCAGGCTCTGGGTTCCGGGAGGGCGAGGTCTGAACGCCGCAGGAGGACAAGGCTTTGGAGCTGAGCAGGCCGGGCTCTAGTTCCAGGCTGCCCGCTATGCACCTTGCCACCTGGGGTCCCTTCCGCTCTCAGCATTTCACAGTCAGTAAACTGCCAGAGTCGGGCCAGGTTACAGGTGAGGCTCGAGGCTCAGAGAGCTTTCAGGCTCGGCAGGAGTCACTCGGCTGGCCTGTCACTGGACTGGATCTGGGCCCACATATCCAAACCTAGCACATGTTCCACTAGCCTCAGCTTCTCAGTGGCCCTGAGTTTATCCCGTGGGATGGTCACATATGCTCAGGACGCAGGGGTCCTTGCGGTTAGGGAGGTATACTGGAGCGGGCTCAGGTGGGCTCTGCTGGTTAAGTATTCGGGAACTTTGCCAGACCATCGTTAACTGGGTAGCTTCAAATCACCTGTGATGAAAGTGTTTACACCATGGAGACCTACAGATTCAGCAAACTGGGGACTTTATTAAATTTATTTAATTCCATCATCTTTTATTCCAACATAGTATTCATTTTTCAATTTAAATTCTTTATTCTTTAAAGTATTTCATATGTCTCCTTTATCCCCCATTGACCTCTCCCTGGCCATTCCTCCCACCCCATCCCCCACCCCCAGCACATGCCCTCACCACCCCTACTGTCTGTGTCCATGGGTTACAAACTGAGGACCTTATTTTTCTGAGAGCCAGTTACCAGCACACCACTGGAAAACTGAGATGGACAGCCAGCCAGAATCCCGAAGTTGCAGCTGGGTTTGGAGAAATTGGGTGCGTTCAACTCATAGAACTTCAGGGTCATTAATGATGTCTGAGACCATGTAGTCCATCCCCATATTTCACATAAGGAGAAACTGAGGCCCAGAGGGAGGAGACAGCCTGTTCTTTGCAGTAATGAGTGGCAAAGGAGCCCAGAATAGATCCAAGTCCCACTCCAGGCCCCAAACCCCAAACCGTGCTGCTAAAATGGAGAGATGTGAATGACCCTGACTCCTTAGTTAACCCAAGAGCACAAGCGCAGAAGGCAGCAGCCTGTCCCAGAGGCCAGTCCAGGCTTCCACAGGGAAACCTTCACAGGGGCTCGTCCGTGTTCCCTGCAGGGAGCTCACCTTGGCCAAATGACCAGCCAGCTTGTCCCTGGCGTCCTTGGTGTCCTTCAGCCCGTTCTTCAGTGCCGTGTCCACCACGTCGCATTGCTTGCGCAGGTCGCTGGCCGTCTGGGACAGGACTCGGTCCACCAGAGACTTCAGCATCAGGGAGTTGTTCCGCTGCTTGTCAGCCTTCTCCACGTTGGTGTTGGAGAAGTCCAGCCAGTCTTCCAGGCTCACGGAGCTGAAACAGACCCGGGCATTTGTTCACGGAGGATCTGGGCTGGGAAGGGAGGCAGGGAGGGGATGGGACGAGCTCCTGGAAACCCCCTGGAAGCTAACCCGACCTTGACCACCAGAAGCACCTAGAATAAGCATGTCAAACTCAAAGGCGCACACGGGCCAGATAAACAAGGTGTAAGTGTATGTGGGCCACACAAAAACAAAAGCTCCCATTTTCATAGAAACGTAGGTTTATTTCAATAGAGACATGCTGAATGCAAAGGGCTGCAATAAATGAGTCATCGTTAACATAAAATCATAGAACATTTTAATAAAAATTAATATTTTTTCTTGAACATAAACTTACCAGACAACTGAATAACTGCACAAATTAATAAACCTATTTTTCTTGTTCTCCGAAAGCGAAATATTTCCTGTTGCGCACACCAAACAAGTCAGTCCAAGACTAATGACGTGGCAGTCAGCTGCTAAAATATTTGCTGCTAGTATTAGTGGAGCAAAATGGTGCGCCTGCGTGTGAGGCGCATCAGGGAAATGAATGCAACACGATGATAATAATCAGTCATTAGTGAATGTTATAGTTCATTATTAATAATTACGTATAACCGGATATTGTAAAAATTAAGTTACGAAACTTTTATTACAAAGTTTTTTACATTATGTTATATTGGCTGGGCCACAAAAATATTCGTTGTGGGCTGCATGTGGCCCACAGTCCGCGAGTTTGACATGCTTAACCTAGAATGTTTCTTCATCCCCAGGCAGAGCGAACAGTGGTCTGTCAGTGGCAAGAGATGTCACTTTGGGGAAACTTACCTATTCTATGCCAAGCAACGCGCTGGCATTTTACAGACATTCACTCATTTAATCCTCATGAGGGCCTAGTGAGCTAACCTTCATAACCCCATTTTACAGAGGAGGAAAACTGAGGCTCGGAAAGAGACAGTAACTTGGTCAAGATCACACAGGTAGAGACAATTTGAGCATTGAAATAAACAATGATAGTAACAGATTATAACACACTGAATAAAATAGGATACCCTGAGTCCATACTGATATCAGTAAATTGCTAGCTTGATAGGGAACTGCTTTATATAACAACACTGATGAATCTCAAAATAATGTTGATTGGAAGAAAAGTGACGAAAATAGATAGTATATGATGCTACTTAATAATTGTAAAAGCAGACAAACCTATTGGAAGTCAGGATGTGGTCATCTTTGGGGAAGAGAGGGGGATATTGGCCAAGAAGGGACAGGATGGGGGTTTCCGGGTGGCGGTAATGTTTCATCTCTTGACCTGGTTGGTGGTTTCATGGGGGTTGTTCACTGTGATTAGCCCGCTGCTGGGATGATGCGCTCGGCCTGCCTGCCTGCCTGCGCAGCACGGGGCACTGGGTAGCAGGGAGGAGCACAGCGTGGCCAGGCCAGCAGGCGGGGACCCACTCACTTTGGTTCAACCCGCACGACATTCTCAGAATATTTGATGTTTGGCGAGTTGTTGTTGAGTGAGAAGCAGATATCATCAATGGTCAGGGCCACAAACTTGTCTTTCAAATCCTTTTCGAGATAGTACTTTGCAGAGCGGTTCAGCCTGAAGGGAGAAGGGAAAGGTTTCTCCCTCTGGAAGGCGCAGATGGCACCTACAGTTTCTCGGGAGGCCCTGGAAAATGAAGCTACAGCTCAGTCTAGTACAGATGGTGGCACTTCCTCCCCCTCCCATCACTCAACCCCCTGCCCTCCCCACACATACCCCACGAGATGCCTGGTGACAAATTAACGTAACCAAGCCTGGACTTCAACATCCTCCAGCTGTGGCCTTTTCTCATGTCACCACTGTGGCATACTCTATGTGAGAGGTCCGTGCTAGGAAAAAACAGCTCGAGTGTCCTCCAGTTTATAAGCAGGGCTGACATCCGGCCCCAACCCCACCCACCACCAGAGGGAGACTGGCAGGTACGCGAGGTTGTCCAGGCCTCGTTCTGAGTGTTCCCAAGCCTCCTCAGGCCATGGACAGTGCACGTAGGAGCACGGAACCCCATTCTTTCTGTGCCATGGAGCCCAGCCTCGGTGGGTGCTGCCTCTCTAGGTACGCCCAGGGAGATGTGGGAGTGGCCCGAACAGCCATACCTGATCTGCTCGGTGGTCTCCTCCAGGGTGCGGGTCAGCAGGGCTATCACCCCCTGGATCACCTCGTACTCCTTCAGTAGCTCCTCCTCGACTTCATCGTGCACCAGGTCGATGCCCACTCGCTGCTCCCTGACCAGAGAAAGGGGCAGGTCACCCAACGTGCGGAGGGAGGCAACACCATATCTGCTAACATCTGGACATTTAAAACCATCTGGACAGCCCTGACCAGTTTGGCTCAGTGGACAGAGCATCAGCCTGCGGACTGAAGGGTCCCAGGTTCGATTCCAGTTAAGGGCATGTACCTTGGTAGCGGGCACATCCCCAGTAGGGGGTGTGCAGGAGGCAGCTGATCGATGTTTCTCTCTCATCAATGTTTCTAACTCTCTATCCCTCTCCCTTCCTCTCTCTAAAAAATCAATAAAATATATTAAAAAATAAAAAATAAATAAAACCATCTGGACAACTGGTTTGAGGAGCACCCAACTCTGGATGCATGGCCTGGCCGGGGATGTACACTAGTTGGGTCTTTGCGCCTTGAAACAAATCCTAAACGCAATGAGGAAAAATTGACCGATGGCTGGTCACTGGTCCGAAAATGCCAGATGGACATTCCCCCTCGACTTGGACATCAGTTCCGAAGCCTTGTCCATCTTTCTATTTAGTGGAAACATTTCTTTTGGCTTAGAATTTCAAAGACATAGGTTCCCTTCCTTGACCCTAGTTCCATCTTTTGACCAGGATTGGAATCCAGAAAGGTGCTTTATAATAATAATAGCAACATTCGTAGTCCCCCCAGCACTGAGCACTGCTGTGTGACAGGCTTTGTGCTGAGCTCTTCGTGGGAATGTTCTCAATGAGCCCTTCAAGCCCCGGCGAGGAAACTGAGCTTCAGGGAGGTTGAGCCCAGGTCACAGAACTGGGCATGACGCATATTTTTTTTTTAATGTCAGAGATTTTGTTTCTTTTTTTTTTAATATATTTTTATTGATTGCAGAGAGAAAGGGAGAGGGAGAGAGAAATAGAAACATCACTGATGAGAGAATCATTGATCAGCTGTCTCTTGCACACCTCCCACTAGGAATCAAGCCCGCAACCCAGGCATGTGCCCTGACAGGGAACTGAACCGTGACCTCCTGGTTCATAGGTCGACACCTCAACCACTGAGCCATACCGGCCGGGCATGATGCATGCTTTTAATCACTGTGCCTTTAGTCACTCCCAAAACTGACCAGTCACTGCCTAATACCTGATTTTTTGTTCTTTTCTACCTTGCATGATAGTGCATGGGAGGCACCTATTCAATCAACTTAGCAACATCTACATTCTATTCACGCTCAGGGGGAGACTTGAGCTGACAGGATGTTGGCTTCTTTCATGGTGACTTTCCCTTTGCTTCACAAACTCTCTAAGTCTGGCTGGGGAGACTGCTGCCTGGTTGGTGCAGAGGGTCCTGGCTACGCTCACTGAGGGAGGGCTTTCCAGGAAGAGGGAATGGAGTGGACAGAGCCATGGTGTGTCAGGAAACTGGGAGTCGCTCAGCACACCTAAGCACATCCCGCTGTTGGAGAAGAGGTGCGGGCCTGGAGGTCACTGTGGGCCCAATCATGATGAACCCCGTTTGCTCAGCTAAGAAGTTTGAACTTGATCTTGAAGGTACTAGGGTATGGGGTTGCAATTATTTAAAAAATGTTAAAGCATGAGGGTGACCTGTAAAAATCTGCATTCAGAAAAGTTCACTCAAAAGCCAGGGTGGCCTGGCCAGCATGGCTCCGTGGTTGAGCATCAACCTATGAACCAGGAGATCACGGTTCGATTCCTTGTGAGGGCCTATGCCTGGGTTGCGGGCTCCATGCCCAGCATGGGGTGAGCAGGAGGCAGCCAATCCGCCAATCCATGATTCTCTCTCATCACTGATGTTTCTATCTCTCACTCCCTTCTCCCTTCCTCTCTGCAGTCAACAAAAACATATTAAAGAAGAAAAGCCTGGGAGGAGGATGCGCTGGATTGGAGGGGACTAAGCCGGTGGCAAGGGGACCTGTGTGGCATGCCAGCTAGCACTGTGACAGGGACAGGTCTGAAACGACCATTAGCCCAGAGTAGATATAATCATCTACTCACAGGACTTAGAGGAGGAAATTAGAATAGAAATCTATGCTTGCACAGTGCCCTCTGGACACAGGACTTCTGTGTGATTCTGCGTATAGGAGTAGACTTCTTGTCCTCTGGTAACTGGAGTACCTGCTCTGCATACCCGAAATAAAGACACCATTTCCTAGTTACTCGTGGTGTGACCATGTGACTAAGTCCTGGTCAACAAGATGCAAGTAGAAATGGTGAATGCCGAACCCTAATTATTCCTACCTGCTGGAATGTAGGCACAATGGCTGGAGCTCCAGCTGTCATCTTGAATCACCAGGTAACCTTGGGCGTGAAAGCCATGTACAGTGGAGCAACAAAATAGAGAAAGCCTGGCCCAGCCGGTGTGGCTCAGTGGTTGAGCATCGACCCATGCACCAAGAGGACGCCGGTTTGATTCCGGTCAGGACACATGGCCGGGTTGCAGGCCTGATCCCCAGGGGGGTATGCAGGAGGCAGCCAATCGATGTTCTCTCTCATCCTCTCTCATCAAATGTTTCTCTCTCTCTATCTCTTCTTTCCTCTCTCTCTAAAATCAATAAAAAACATTTTAAAAAAGAGAGAGAGAGTCCAGAGCCCTGACACTGTGGCACACCATGCCAACCCTGACCTAGTTCCAGATTCTTAAATGGGAGAGAAGAAGAACCTATCTTATTTCAGTTCAGTGTTATTTTGCGGTTTTCTGATTACCCACAGCCAAACCCAGTCCTAACTTATATTTAAGTTAGTCAAGGGCAGAGTTTAGACAAGAACCCAGTCTAGTGCTGCGTCCACTGCCTGGCACCACGGACATGCCGAGATAATTTCAGGCTCTAAAAGAACACATGCTCATTAGCCTCGTTCTAACCCACCACCCAGCACGGTCAGCTCTCACTACCCAGCATTTCGTTTCTCATAACAGATGATTCGCCGGAGGGACCTTCCCTACCTGTACTCCAGGCACCTCTGTGTGATATGCAAGGGCTCTTTCAGGCTCTCCAGGGCTTTCCGCAATCTGGTCTGATATGCGAGTAGATCTTCGGTCGCGTACACAAGCTGCTCAAGTTTGTCATCTAACTCCTTCTTCCAGAATTTGACTTCCTCAAGTCTCTGTTCTGAAGCACACAGAGAAGTTACAGGAGGGTTAATCTACTCCCAATGCAGCCAACTTTTGGATTAGAAACTTTAAGACTATCGCAAAAGTCTTAATGAGATGTTCTTTTCTTCTTAGAACTTCTTAGGGAAGGGGGGGAAGGAAAATACTTCTTACATTCACCATCAAATTAATCCAAAGATCATTCTACACTCATTGACTCTAATTCCCCCATGTCCACTGTCTTTAAATAACTTTTAATTTTATCAAACATATAAATGTATTTTGCTGAAAAAGTCAAGTAGTATTACAAGTATTACAAATCTCTGCCTGATCCCTATCCACTCCCACTTTCTAGAAGCAACCACTAAACACTTCTAGTATTTCTTCTGCCACTTGCTTACACTGCTGTGTATTCATTATCAGTTTGAATATCATCTACCGATTTGCTATGATGAAGGTAAGAATGTATTTGCTCTTACACAACTTTCACAACATACTTCTGCTCCTTCCATCTTCCCAATACAGTTGTATCACCATCTTGTTAATACAGTAATGCTTGTTGATATTATTGTAAATATCTAAATGCTATGTACACCTGAACCACATAGTATACTATGATAAATTTCTTTCCTTCTACAACTTTTTGCTTTTTGGAGAGGTTAATATATTTTTGCTTTATTTTCTACATATTTAATACTAATTTTTCTTCAAACTTTCTAACAAAACTAGAGCAGTGCCCCTTATCTGCAGTTTTGCTTCTATGGTTTTACTTACCTGTGGTCAACTGAGGCCTGAAAATAAATGAAAAATTCCAGAAAAAAATCATTCATAAGGTTTAAATTGCGCACCATTCTGAATCTCACACCTTCTCGCTCTGTCTCACCTGGGACGAGAACCACCCCTTTGTCCAGTGTATCCACACTGTGTACACTGCACTACTGTTAGCCACTTAGTAGCCATCCTGGTTATCAGATGGACTGTTGCGGTACCACAGCGCTTGTGTTCAAGTTTCCCTTGTTTTACTCAATAATGGCCCCAACACACAAGAGTAGTGATTCTGGCTGTTAGGATATGCCAAAGAGACACCGTAAAGTGCTTCCTTCAATGAAAAGATATGTATTGCATGTATGTATGTATGTATGTATGTATGGGGGGGAAACATCCTATATAAGTGTAGTATGCAAATTTTCCCCTCCACCAGGAGTTTGACCAGGGGCAGGGCCAGCTCAGGGAAGGGAGGGAGTACCCAGCCAGTAGCTAAGGACCCTACCAGTGTATGAATTTCGTGCATTGGGCCTCTAAGAGGATATATAAGGTTGGGTACTATCCACAGTTTTAGGTATCGAATAGGGGGTCTAGGAACATATCCCCCATGGGTAAGGAGGGACTACTGTATAAATATCCTCTCAGTATATTCAAACCCATCAAGTAACCTATTGATTTTGTTTCTTTGCTGGAGACCTTTCTCTAGGAATGCTTTCTCCTCCGGCTCCAACCTCTAGTTGGATGTTGGGGCTATCACCCTATGACTTTGCTTCACCATCATTCTAGGAATTCCCTTCACTATCTCGTATGTTGGAGTCCTCTCTCTTGGATTTCGTTTATTCTTTTCTCTTTCTTTTTTTAAATCCTCACCAAAGGAGTAAGGATATTTTTTCCATTGATTTTTTTTAAGAGAGAGTGAAAGGGAGGGGGGAGGGGAGAGAGAGAGAGAGACATCATTGTGAGAGAAACACATCATTTGGTTGCCTCCTGTGCACACCCCAACTGGGGGTCAGGATTTGAACCGGCACCCCAGGTACATGCCCTTAACCAGAATTGAACCCAAAACCCCTTGGGTATGCACCTAGCCATGCCAACCCGGGCCTTTCTTTTTCTTGGTTTCCTTCTTCAATGTGTTGAAACACATCTTTCAATAACTTCCTAAGAAATGGATGCATGTGAGGTAAAATTTTTGAAACCTTGGAATTCTGAAATGCCTTTATTCTACCTCGTCCATCATTTGATTATATTTGGTTTTAGGCAGATATATAGGTTGTAAATAATTTTCATTTAGAATTTTGATAGCATTGCTTCATTTCCTAGTTTCCAAAGTTTCTGATGAGAAGCCTGATGCCATTCTGATTCCGGATCCTTTGTATGTGACCTGAAAAGCTTTTAGAAATGTCTTCTCTATTTTCCTAGTGTCAATCTTATTCAATTATTATGCCACATACTAGTCATGCCCTTTTAATCTGAAAACCTAGACCTTTCGGCTCTAGGAAATGTTCTTGCATTCTCTCATGGGCAATTTCTTCTTCTCCATCTTCTCTATGCTCTTTCTGGAACTCCTATTAGCCTTCTGCTCAGGGGAGGAGAGTCAGAGTAGGGAGGGGCTCTCTACAAAGACTTGCAACCAATCTTGTTTCCAACTCTATTTTGAATCTCCAGCTTCTGAGGTCATTGGATGCTTCCAATTTGAGCATTTCAAGGTTTCTGCAGCATAAATCTCTAGTATGAATCAGTTGGCTTCTCACTGTCCTCTACCTACCCAGGCTTTCTGCAGTCCCTAAGTGTGTTACCACTTGGCCTTTTGCTTTCTAGCTTCCAAAATCTTCATCATTTGTCTAGTGTTGCTACCCTTGCCCCCATCTCATCTTTGAGGCATACTTTTCATTAATCCTTTACTACTCCTTTGTCGGAATTTTAAAAGGAAAGGAAGACTAATGAACGTGTTCCATCCACCATGTAAAGCGAAGTCTCCCCACTCACACTTTATAACTGACCTCTACCCTCACCTTGCATCTTCCACCACCCTATTGGACCTGCCGTCTCAAAGGTCACCAATAATCTTCAAGCCATCAGTTCCCATTCATTTGTGCTCAGCTCACAGCCTCTTTGCCATTTGTGTGACCACTAGTGTTGATGAGCACACAGATAGTTTCTACTTTGGGACTATTACAAAGAGCACTACTTTGAACATTGCAGCATGTATCTTTCGTAAACATATGTTAGAATCTGTATTCGGTATATACCTAAAAGTGCAATATCTAGGTCAAAGTGTATGCAATATGTTCAGCTTTAGTAGATACTATCAAAGCTTTCCAAAGCAGTTATACTTCCAGTGTTCACAGTATAAATTTTCCAATTTATGCTTCCTCCAGTAGGGTACTAGAGTTCCAGTTGCTCCACATCCTCTCTAATACTTGGTATTTTTCTTTTTCTAAAATATATTTTTATTGATTTCAGAGAGGAAGGGAGAGGGAGAGAGAGACAGGAACATCAATGAGGAGAGAGAACCACTGACCAGCTGCCTCCTGCACCCTCTCCCCCCCCCCCCCACTGGGGACCAAGCCCACAACCCAGGCATGTGCCCTTGACTGGAATCGAACCCGGAACCCTTCAGTCTTCGGGCCGACACTCTATCCACTGAGCAAAACTGGCTAGGGCGGTATTTTTCTTTTTCTTTTTTTTTTTTTTTTTTTTGTCTGTTTACTATAGATTTATTACGGGCTACTACTCGCCAGGCATTACGCCAAACGCTGGTTAGGCAGTGCTGGGGCTCACAGGTGCCTCATCTATTTGAGAGGGGCAGACATGCAAGGCTAACAGACAGCTTATCTCCCCTACATCTGCCATTCTGAGGCACCTCCCTCCCCTCAGTTCCCTTGCTGGTAGCCAAGGCGTTCTGAGTCCTAGAGGCCTCCTGCTTGCATTTCTGGCTTAAAGACTAGAGCTGGCCCTTGCAGTGCAGCTGGGGCTCTGAAGTCCATTGACCCTGCTGCTGTGAGAGTCAGAGCAGACCATAGTGACAGCTGCCGGGCTGGGGGACTCATGTGACAGCAGGAAGAGAGCTGCTGGGGCCCAAAGGTTGCTGAGGTTGAGTGTGAAGTTTCTTGTGCTAAATCCTAGCCGTTGAACAGCTCTTGAATGTTACAAAACCCTTTCACTCTTGTTCTCTTATTGTGATCCTCGAGGTAGTAATTATCCCCATAAGAGATGAGGAAGCTGAGGCTAAGATGGAAGTGCTAGGTCCATTGCCTGCACCTCATGGCCCAAGGGGCTTCCTGGAGAGAGCAGAGCTGGAGGGTGGCGTTGGCCCACTCAAAGGGCAGACGGTTGTCCCTGGGTCTTGCTCACTGAGCTTGTGATGCAGAGTGTAATTCCTGCCGTGGTGAGCACCATGCCTGCAAATGTTCGTTTTCCACCAATATCTTCTCCCAGGACCTTTCCAACAATCAGTGTGAAGACGATGGACAGGGAGTTACTGATGGGCACAGCTAGAGTTAGATCTGTTGATGCCAAGGTGAAGTAGTAGAGAAGGGAGCCACACTGGTTTTGGAAAAAGGGCACCAGGTACTCAATATTGAGGAAGAGGGTCTTCATCTCCTGCAGCAACTGCCGGAGCCAGGTCCGCTCAGTGGACGTGCCGCAGGCGGGAGGAGGCCCGCTTCAGCAGCGGCTGGGTGCCGCCCCACAGCGCGGCCACGAGCACCAGAGCCAGCACCTGCCCTGGACCAAGAGGCGAGTGAGCCTCTCCCCGCCCCCAAACGGCCGCGCGCAGGCCCAGCCAGCTTCCGGCCCCCCATGCCTACCTAGCTCGCCGCCCCCAACGCCCCCTCTGCTCCCCGACGCCCCGGGTGCGACTGGCCGGTATTTTTCTTTTTCTTTTTTTCCCCCTCTCTTATTTAACAACTTCTCCCCCCACTTCCCCTCCTGGCCCTCCTTTTTCATTTTAGCCCTTCCGGTGGGTATGTAATGGCATCTCAGCTGTGATTTTAATTTGTATATCCCTGATGAATAATGAAGTAAGAGCACCGCTTCATATGTCCATTGGCTGCTTAGATTTCCTCACTTGTAAAGTGTCTGTTAAGGTTTTCCCCATTTTTCTATTGAGTTTTTTGCCGTTTTCTTCTTTATCTTTAAAAGTTCTTTATATGTTCTAACTACAAATTCTAACATCTAACAGTATTGATCTGAAGCAGCTTTGGTTTATTGGAGGTTGAAAAACTAACTACCCCTAACCATGTTTCCTTCATAGGCGTTTTGGTTCATCCTGCCCAATGTTATAAATGCATTCAATTCATCGCCAACATTTTTAAAGTGGGTAAATTTTCAGCTTTCCAGATTTTCTTTTTAAAAAAATCAGACAAAAATTTGACAATACCAAGCTCATAATCTTTCTTAGAAAAAGACTGTTTGAAATTTAGTTGCTGATTCCTTAGATGGAGCACATGTCCTCCAGATAACCACCATCCCCTCCACGCCCTATTCTTAGAGGGGTCGTATTCAACTCTTATTCTACCGGCACAATCCTTATAGACACTTGAGTTTGTGACTTCGGGTTTATTTTTTAGCATTTGGGAAATTTTATGTTTATTCTTGTTTTAGTTAAGGGCAGTGCCCTTTATAGTGTTTAAGAATGGAATTCCCAAGAGAAAATTACTCTTCGTTTAAGAATCAGTTCAGCCCTAACCGGTTTGGCTCAGTGGATAGAGTGTCGGCCTGCGGACGGAAGGGCCCCAGGTTCGATTCTGGTCAAGGGCATGTACCTTGGTTGCGAGCGCATCCCCGGTGTGGGGCGTGCAGGAGGCAGCTGATTGATGTTTCTAACTCTCTATCCCTCTCCCTTCCTCTCTGTAAAAAATCAATAAAATATTTTTTAAAAAAGAATCAGTTCAAAGGTTTCTCTAGGAAATCTTTCTCAATTCTCTTACTGTTATACCCCTTACCCCAGGACCTATCTGGTTATATTCAGGTTATAATATTTGTATCTTTCTCCTCCTTAAGCCAGGAGCCCTTAAAAAGTAGAGACTCTGATTGCCATGTGATATTCCCAGAACTTAGTCCAGAGATGCTCTAAGATGCTCAACGACTGTGTATGGAATAAATAAATCATAGATGACAGATAGCTGAAAATCAGACTGGATTATCATGCTGTCTTGGGGCAGTGAACTTAGACATAGAACCTAGAGAATACACGTTTCTCCCTAAGACCCTGAACGTGAAATGCAAATGACAGTCTAGCTAAACCTGAACAGTTTCATCAAAACATGTTCACAAGTGCACCAAGTGCATTGTCTTACCTAGCTTCTTGTTCACATCGCTTTGAGATTTTCTCGTGGACTTGTCGATTTCATCCACCAGCCTCTGGCTCTCTGCCACCAGGCGTTCGGACCGGGACCTTTCAGCCTCCGCTTTGTGGTACTGGCTCTTGTTAGCAAGGTGCCACTCGGAGCGCAGGAACTTCGGTGGGGCTTGGAGTAGTTTGGCCATTTGACCAAAGGCAGACTTCTTCTAGATTAAGTAAAATCCTGGGAAGAGAAAAGCAATTTGTCCTTTTTCAAATGTCCATTTTTTTATGTGATATATATACCAAAAAGGGCATAAATCATAATCTGTACACAGAATGAACACATCTGTGTAGCCAGCATCCAGATCAAGAAATAAGCATTACCAGCACCTCATGCCTCTTTCTAGTCACTATTCTCCACCCCCACCCCCACAGGGTACCACTAACCTGACTTTTAACACTATAAATTAGTTCTGTTGTTTTTGAACTTCATATAAATGGAATCATACAGTATGTGCTCTTTTGTGTCTGACTTCTTTTACTCAACATTATGTTGGTAAGATGCATCCGTATTGTTCATATCGTTGTAGTTGGTTCATTCTCATTGCAGTGTAGTATGCCATTGTATAAATATACCAAAATGTATCTGTCTTTTCTACTGTTTATGGGTATTTGTGTTGTTTGTTTGTTTGGAGCCTATCATGAGAATGCTAAAAAGATTCTCCTACCTGTCTTTTGGTGAACACATTCGTGTATTTTTATGACTTATTAGAATGGGGAGTGTTCAATTTTACTAGATACTGATACATAGATGAACCCAGGCATGTTTTCTTTAAAAATGAACACATACAATTATCTGTAAACTAGCAACTGGGTATTGAGCCTATTTAGCAGATAGGAGAATCTAAAAACTTCCCAGGACGAAGAAAAGGAGAGAACAGTAAGGGGAACACATGAGAACACATGAGTCCACAGCAACAGAAAGACTAAATCCCCACCCACCCCACCTGCCCCACCCGCATCCCTACCCAAAAAACTGAGCGCCTGCCCTTAGGGGTGTCTGGATCTCCGAAGCCCTTCAAACATGCAAGGATGGAACCTGGTCAGATCTTGACCAGGCTGAGCACACCAGGAAACTCAGCCTCGACAGACAGCATGGTCTCCTCCTTTCTTCCCAGTCCAGTCCCTCTTACAGTCTCTCCCAAATTTGCCTGAGCGTGACGCTCAAACTTAACACAAGACTCCTGAATAAATCTGAGAAGCCTCGGGAGAAATCGAAATTAGACCTAAATTAGGGCTGAACCCAGCAGGCGTAAGACTTTGAGTAGGGCTGAGGGCTGCAGTTAAGGGTTGACGAGGTGGGGCCGGAATGTACTTACCGCAGCGCCACGAAGAACAACTACACCTGCTCGGAATAAGAGCCTCCTAATCCCAACTGCAGTTCCCGGCTCTCGCAGAAGACGAAGGTAAACAACGAAGTCTCCATGGCAACGGGTGACGCGCGTGCCCAGGGCAAAGGGGGCGGGGTCCGGCGCGAAGCACCTTCTCCCGAAGGCTCTGCGCAGGCGCGAATTCTACAGTCCCCAGCGCAAGAGATATGGGATTGAGTCCTGGGAGCCGTAGAGCCGGATGCTCGGCCATCTCAACTTCTCACAAAGACGTGGGACACCAAGCAGGGGCGACCCACCAGCTATAGGCCGGCCGCGGGCTGGGTTATCTCGGGCCGCGCTGCTCCCGCTGGGTTTCGGACTCCCCACGTGTACAGCGGGGTTGGGCTGGACGATACCGTAAGGTGTTCGCAGGCAGGCCCAGGTGCACTAGGCCACAGAGCCGGCGCGGCCGGGAAGAGACGTGAGAGATTTCTAGGCTTCTCACAACCAGGACGGGTAAAGAGGCTGGAGGTGGGAGGAGATGCCGGGACCCAGGGCCCAAGCCTGGCGCTTCGGGGTGGCTGTGTCCAACCCAGAGCTGAGGCTGGAGCTCCCAAGCGAACAGCACGGTGCTCGGAATATGCGCCTTCTGGCTGTCGTACTGGTCAAGTACTAATGTGTAAAAACACAGTGGGGAGAATGCGGATTGGGAATGCTTACCTAGGTCCTGGTCCACACACAAAGTAGGTATTCAAATCTCCCGCGCACTTCACCACCCTCACACCAGCCAATCGAAGGCAGCGTCCCTCCGAAGTCAACCAATCAGAGGAGGTCTTGCCTCTCAAAGCCCGCCCCCTACTTCTCGCAGGCTGATCGGAAAGTCCTGGAGCACAGCAAAGCTTCAGGAATATTAGACACGACGCCTGTCCAGCAGCGTGTGAGGGGCATCTACTTACGAGCGCGGGTAGGCTGGCTCCCACTAGGCCCCCAGCGGGGTGTACCCAGCCCTGGCTCTGAGGTCGGGGTTCAGGACGCTGTGCCCGGGTTTCCCATCGTGGGAAGACGAGTCGCGGGAACCAGCGCGCGTCCTGCCTCAGCGCTGATTTAGCACCGACACCTAAGAAGGTGGTCCTGCTCCCGCCTGGACGGGGCGGGCGGCTCCGTCAGTGGTCAGAGCGCGGCCAGCAGGCTTGCGGGGAGGTGCTCGCTACGGGGGATGCGGTGCGGGGTCCCGGGAGACGCCGTCTGCTTAGGCGATTAGGGGCGCAGCGGCCTGATGGCGGGAGCCAGCGGTGAATGGTCTCTGCGGTTTGCTAAACAGGCCCCGCCTTGGAGGCCAGGCCCTGGGATCGCCTCCCAGTTTACAGAAGGGGATTTTCTTGGAACTGTTGGAAACATGATGGAATTGGCAAAAGTACATGACAGTAACTATATGAGTGACAATCATACATCACCATTGTCGTTTTTTGTCAGTATGCAAGTTTAATTTTCCCTCTCCCCCTTGGGTTAGAAAAAACCTTGCAGGGCAGTGATTCTCAACCTTCCTAATGCCGCGACCCTTTAGTACAGTGCCTCGTGTTGTGGTGACCCCAAACCATAAAATTATTTTCGTTGCTACTTCATAACTGTAATTTTGCTACTGTTATGAATCGTCATGTAAATATCTGATATGCAGGATGTATTTTCATTGTTATAAACTGAACATAATTAAAGCATAGTGATTAATCACAAAAACAATATGTAATCATATATGTGTTTTCCGATGGTCTTAGGCGACCCCTGTGAAAGGGTCGTTCGACCCCCAAAAGGGTCGCGACCCACAGGTTGAGAACCGCTGTTGCAGGGGATAGAGAAACCTTGACGCCACACCTAAGAACTCAGGCTGATAGTTGAGTCAAAACCATCTCTCCTCGGCTCGAGGCTGCCCTCTGAAAGCTCTAAACTTGATGGTGGTGCATCTCTTTCTTGATGTGCTTTAAAAAATTAAAATTTAAAAATAAACTCTTTCTTCAGCTATTTATTCTGGAGTTTAAGTGTAATTGAAAGTATTTGAAAATATTTTCAAAAGAGAAACCTTATTTTGCTTGCACACACACACACAAGGGAATGCGTCCAATAGAGGAAGTGTGGAACAACTTATCAATAATTACTCAGTGTCTCTTTGGCACCAGTATATGGCTGAATGGCATGTAAAGCAGTTATCAAGCACAGAGCTTAGAGTTTGCTATATTAGGAAGTACAACCAAAGCTTATATTTAAAGTAGAACTATTTAAGTGAGGTACATTAGGTTTCTAAGTGGTTTTGAGATATTTTTGGTTGGAATAAAGCTATATTTCCCAAACTTCAGTCATTCTAATACCAACTTCTAAATTTTATTGTTGTTAATCCTCACCTGAGGTTTTATTTTTATTGATTTTTTTAAAAGAATGGGAGAGGGAGCCAAAACCGGTTTGGCTCAGTGGATAGAGCGTCGGCCTGCGGACTGAAAGGTCCCGGTTCGATTCCGGTCAAGGGCATGTACCAGGGTTGCGGGCACATCCCCAGTGGGAGATGTGCAAGAGGCAGCTGATCGATGTTTCTCTCTCATTGATATTTCTAACTCTCTATCTCTCTCCCTTCCTCTCTGTAAAAAATCAATAAAATATATTAAAAAAAAAAAAAAAAAAGAATGGGAGAGGGAGAGACAGAGAAACATCCATGTGAGAGAGACACATCGATTAGTTGCCTCCCACATGTCGGGGTTGGGGATCCGGGCTGGGTATCAAGCAGGGGCCAAGGTACATGCCTTTGACCAGAATCGAACCTGCGATCCTTCAGTCCAAGAGCCGATGCTCTAGCCACTGAGCAACTGGCTAGGGCCAACTTCCTAATTTTTTATATACCCATACACCACCTGTAAGATTGGTGTTTGTCTTCAGATACTCATTTTACATGTAAGCATAATTATTTTTAAAGAAGACTTTACATCCCTACCATAAATGGAAAACTAGCATCAGTTGCATGATAGAGAGTAACCATAAAAATAATAAGAAAAAAACAATATCCTAAAATTTGATATTGATGAAAAACAAAGATAAAAGTAATGTTAAATCTAACCTTTTGATTTGTTAAACTCACATCTGCAAGCAAGTTTCTCAATAAGATTGAGCCTATAGATATTTGACTTGATTTATTCATTTAAGACTATATACTTCTTTTTTACTTCTGGTGTTTGTCAGACTAGCAATCGCAACTCACTAGTAAACATATTTACAAAGGTTAAAAGATGCAATGACTCCCCAAACTTGGTGACTTTGGTCCAGCAAGGAGCTAGGACGTGTAATCCTCCTTTGGGCCCAAGGACAAAAGGAGACCCAGATATGGTGAACCCAGAAATCTCTAGCATAAAGTCCTTTAATTACCTGGCCTCACCTCCTGACACTTTCTCCCTGGGATAGAAGGGTTTTAATCAGGAAACCACGTTGATTTTAAATAGCTACAACGAGTATAGGTCTTTTTCCACTATTGGCCTCTTCCTATGTGAGAGTCCTGACCAGGCAACTCTGAGTGTAGGTGTGACAAGGCTTTCGGGAAAACGCCCCAAGTCCATTCTGTGTCCACCGGGAGAAGGAAAATACCAGACAAAAATGAAGTCAGAGGATAGATCCAGGAGATTTAATATTTGTCAAGTGGAACTTCCAACAGGAGGAAAAAATCAGAATGGCAAACAAAGATGGAGAGAGAATGTCCTTGAGCTGAAGACTCAAGTCTTTGGATTGCAGCACCCACTTGAAATAATTCTCTCCCCCTCTCTCTCTCCCGCTAGTCTGCTGAAATTTCTTAATTCAAAGAATAAGGAGGAAAGGAATGAGTAGGTATCATCTTTTCACCTATAACATAGATTGCTAAAATAATGTCTTCAAAATTCTAGAGAAAATAATTTCAAATCTGGAACTCTATAACCAGTTTTAAAAAATCTTAAATATGAAGGCAAAATAAAGATGTTTTTGGACATCTTAGTACCCTAAAAGTTGGACACATACTCATTTGCGGGGGGTGAGGGTTAATTGAGCAAACGTGAAAACCTTGGACAGAGGAGACATTGACTATAAGGAACAGTGGAACCAACTGAGCTGGATGATGACAAGAAGCCTCCGTTTGAGAGCTGTACAACTGGAACACAATCAGTTCACACTGCAACTGCAAGAAGAGTTCTTGAAGAATACCTTTAAGAATTTCCCGAACTATGATTCATAACCCAGAAGTATAACCACATACTCCTGGTGAGCTGAAATTATATCTCTTCTGATCAATAAAAGGAAAGACAAATAAAAATTCCGAGAAAATTAAAAAGCTGTACAAGAAAGTTATAACTATGAAGAAGCTTTAAATTTGGTGTGATTTTTTTTTCAGAGTAACATATGAACCATGAGAGATGGTTGGTGCCAAGTGTCACCACCCCTTTCATGAAGACGTCTACTGACCACCCAGCTGAACTCATTCGCTCTCGGAATGATTCACTGATTCATTCCACAAAGACTTGTTGATCACTGTCTGAACTTATTGTCTGAATTCACTAACTCATTCATTAATTTTCCCAAGTAGTTACTGAACATCTTCTAAGCTCTGGGACCTGTGCTTCACACTGAGGCTAGACCCTGCCTTTTTATGGAATTTATGATCTAGCTCTATTTGACTCTGATTCAAATGACACCATCTATTTTGTAAATTCATTATTTTTACATCTTATTTTTTCCTGGGTAGAAGAGTTGAAGTCTTAATTTATCTTTGCATTAACCTAAAAATAACCTACAAGAGAAGACTGATTAGATAAATTATGAAACAGTCATTGAGTGGGATACTTTTCAACTGTAAAATGTATAACTAGGAATCTTTCTATATTTTTAAATGGAATAATCACCCGGATATATTAAATGAAAAAAAAAAGGAAGGTTCAGGAAAGTATATAGAGTACTCTATCATTATTACGATAGAAAAAAAGTAAAATGTACTTCCTTGAATACACATGGAATTTCTCTAGAAAGATACATAAAAAACTAGTAGCATTGGGGTTGCCCCTACTAAAGGATCTACAGGGGTCAGAGGGCAAAGATTTCACTGA